CCCCAAAACCCCAAAACCCCAAAACCCCAAAACCCCTAAATGTAAACTTTTTATTGAGCAATATAATTTTCGGCCTCTGGGAACTCCTTCAGGATCTTTGACAACACTGTGTTAACATCGTTACAGAGGACACCTATTTGCTCATTCCAGATGCTTAGTTTCTCTCTTTCGTTTTTTTCAAATTCAATAATCTCACTTCTTTGGTCAAGGATGGCTGAGATACGCCCCTGAATGACCATGTTTGAAATAAGCTTTTCAGCATTAGATTTTGAGATACCTAAGAAAGTACCCAGTCCTTCAAAGCTAATAGTTGTGTAGATGTTTGAAACAACTGAGATATTATGCTCAAGAACAGATGTTTCAAGGATAGAATGTCCATCAGATCCAGTTGCTTTCTGATGTTCTTCTAATGTACTCTCAAATTCCTGAGATAATTTCTTGTTAATGACTTTGTCATTGAACATTCTCTCTAGCATTTCATAATTTGGACAATTCTTTGATCTCTCGTCCTTAGTAAGAGTTGTGAGAATTCTACTCTTTTGAGGTCCTACTGGAGCAAGAACTGCACAAGTAATTGCATTTTTAAGCAAAAGGAATTTATTATCTTCTTCAATAGCGCTTCCTTCAAAACTAGAGAGCTCATAGTAAGCTTGGGCAGCAAAGACGAATTTTCTCTTAGAATCAAATACTTTAGCTTTACAGTATCTATATCTAGTATTGATTTCTTCATCCTCTACATCAAGAATCACATGAGTTGCTTTGTTGAGATAAATCTCTGCATTGACTGCATCATCTTCTGAGAACCAGTTCTCAGCAATACTAACAAGAATCTCTGATTTTTCTTTTGGGTCAATATTTCTGACGGTATTCTCTAACTTAATTTTCATAAGTCATTTGGCAGCATCTGAGAAATCTTTCCTTGCTTGATGGACTGAGGCTACTTCTCTTCTGATAATGCACTCTTCCTCTTCAAGCATGTTCTTGTCAGAGATAAGCTCAAGAGTTGCTTCTCCAAGTTCAAGAACTTGGTCGTTCTGAAGATGATCAAAAGCTTTCGCAAAAATGTTCATAATGTCTCTAGCAACGACTTGAGGGAAGGAATCTTGAACGACATGCTCAACTATTTTTAAAGCATTATCAGTATCTTTGTCTACAAAGATCTTTTCAATGACTTCTTTATACTTTTGGACTCTTGCATCTGCACTGGATGATGAGCTATATTACCCAATTAGCTCTCTTCCCCCAATCTCTCTCCTCAACTCCCCTATCTCCTCCACTAATCCCTCTCCACAACCACTCACCTATCAAAACCTGACAACTTGCTGGTAATGGACATCTTTCGTCTAAATTTTCTTTATAGAATCCTTCCTAAATGGGGTTTTGGGGTTTTGGGGTTTTGGGGTTTTGGGGTTTTGGGGTTTTGGGGTTTTGGGG